CCCCTCTCCCGCTCGCTGGGCCCGCAGACCCCAGAACTCCCGGGGGGAAGATGGGCAGTGGTCGCGCTGCGGATCTCCGGTGCAGAACATCTCTGCCGACCGCGGGGAGAGCGGGTCTCGCCATCCCGGGATGCTGCTTTGCCTCCGCCATCGCGTCCCAGCACTTTGCTGTGCGATGAGCCTCTGCTTGCTGGGGACGCCGCGACGGGCAGGGACCGAAAGCTGCGACAGATCAGCGGGTCTGGGATTTACCCCGTTAGCCGTGAGCCAGCTGCCTACCGGTGCTGGGAAACCTCACTGGGAAACGCTGCGGTTTGTGGCACAGGGACGCGCTTTGCGGTGCTGTCAGCCTGCCGGCTTTTCAGCTCCACGTGCTTAGTTACCTGCAAAAAGAAATGCAAAGAGGCAGAAGTTGGTTTTGGGCTTAAAGTGTGCCGTCAGCAGGGCTGCCTGACCTTTGGTGGCAGGCTGCGAGCGGCTGGGGGTTTATAGCCCATGCTGCGGGGTGCTGGGGGGTCTCGGAGTTGCTGTGAGGATGGGATTTAGCAGGAAAGGCCAGGAATGCGAGTGTTTGCTTTGGGCAGGGGAGAGCGAAAAATCTTGACCCTGTAACAGCAGGGAATTGCAGTGAGGGGAAATCACTGTGGATTTAACCAGGAATCCTGGACTGGTTTGTACAAAAGGTGCTTCAACCCCAAGAGTCCCTTTGGAAGCCAGGTGTGGCCCTGGGGGACATTCATTTCTGACAGCTCCCAGGGTTCGGGGAGGTGGGAAACCCTGCAGGCAGGGGCTCTTCATTCCTCCCGCCCTGTCCGCCTGTGAAGATACACTCGACAAGTGCCGGAGCAGAAAGCTGTTGTCAGCAGGTGAATTACTTCCAGTAATGGGAAACCCAGGGCTAGGGATGTAAGGAGCATTTTGGCAGACCTGGGTGTTTCCTCATACCGTCCGTACTGGGACTGCAGCAGGCCGACGTGCCGTTTCAGTCGTGGGGTGTGCGACTCGCTGCTTTTTGGTTTTCATCCATTATAGAGCATCTTGCCTCTAACAGCGGGCAAGACTTTCTTGTTAAAACTCTGTTCTCCGGGAGAGTAACGGAGAAGGCATGCGGGGCCAGCCGGGCTGTGCGGTAAGATCTGTCGTTGCTAGCACTTTGGTTTTGCTGTGATCCCAGGCGTTTCGAGAGAGCAGCAGCGTGCTTGTGAGTGGATTTATTTCCACGCCAGCTTTTCCCTCAGGCCAAGCTGTGGTAAGTGAGGGGAGCTGCTCCAGCTCGGCGGGCACCCACGCAGGCATGCCAGCTTTCAGCTCCTCGGCTCTAGTGTGGGCTTTTAGAGCCAGCCTTAAGCAAAATGCTCTGGACACAGGGAAGGGGTGTCCTGCCACACAGGGCAAATCCGTTGGAAGGTGCCATGAAGATATCCACATCCCAAACCACTGGGGATGGAAGGGGTACCCAAAGGCAGCACTAGATATGAGAAATCCCTGGTGTCATGAGGCAGAGAGGAAAGTATTTCATTCCTGTGCCAGCCAACACCTCTTTCTACTTAATCAGGATAGAAAATGAGGCTAAGATCCTCTTTGCTCTTTGCCTTTTAACTTGAAGCAGCCCAGGACGAGCTGCGGGTGAGCAGAAATCATCCGGAGCGCTTGCGAGGGCAAGGAACATGGGGACTCATCCGTGTCCTCCCCCGCCAGGGGTCCCTGCCGGGAGAGCTGCCCCGGCTGGAGCTGAAAAGCTTCAAAATGCAGCATGAAAACAGCTGCTTGAGGTTGGATTGTGCCAGGCAAGGAGCGGCTCCAGCCTGGGTAACCTCCGGGAAGAGCAGGGGAGGGAAGGGGATTTGGGGTCGCTCACTCCTTTGCATTTGGTGAATCTTTTTGGAGCTGCCCGCCTGTTTGAGAGTGGGTGACCCGGCCCGCGAGTAAATGGCAGTCGGCTGAGTTGTGCAGCAGTCACATGGCTTTTGTTTGTGTTGGGATGGCAAAGCTTAGGAAGCAGGTTGGAAAAGCTTAGGGGCTTTTTTTTTTTTTGCTTATCTAAAAGGGAAACCCATTGTTTTTTGTGAGCGCCAGGGAGAGCCTCGTGCTTTACTCTGCACCACCAGACCGACCAGAACTTAAAAACCCTTCTCAAATTTCTGTCTAGAAGTAGCATTTCTCGAGGGTTAAAAATAGTGAGCAATTTAGCAAAGGAATATATCCAGCCTCAAAATTAGGTTGTGTTTCTTGGCTCTCGGGAAAGCGCGCCAGGCTCCTGCTCCATTGCTCACAATAGTAATGACGTAGCTTTAAAAACTTGTTGTTTGATGTTTGAGGGCTAAGACCTGCCTCAAAACAAACTCAGCTGAGCTCTGGATAAGTAAAAAGGTTGTGCTTTCTACCTGTGGTATTACCTTCTAAACTGTGAACAGGTTTTTGGTTTGGGTTTTGTTTTTGTTTTTGGAAGAGGCAAATTAATTTAGCCAAAATTCCTGTCTGGCACGATGCCTTTGCTTGCTGAAAGCAGCCAGGGAGATTTATCACTCCGCTTGGGATTTCTGTGTGCCTGTGAAAGCCTTGGGAATCTCAAAACGGCCTAGTAAAAGCATCTGCTTGTGGTATATTCCCTACATCATACCTCTTCAAAAATATAGTTTTGTTCGGGGGGGAATTGCTTTATATGGAGCTGCTCTTCATCTTCTTTGTGACCAGGCTGGGAAGTGCTGGGAAGAAGGGGGGAAAACGGCGTTACAGGGCTGGGTATGTTAAGTGATTCTCGTAGGTGGGGACACAAAGCCCTCAGAAAGAGGTGGTAAATGGCCTTCCCTTGGGAAAAATTGTTCGCTAAGAGACCCTGGGAGAGCAACACTGAACAGCAACCGGCTCCTACGCACTGTCTGAAGGCGTTTCTCCGGCTGTCTGCAGCTGTTTTCCTGAGAAAAGTGGCTTGGTGGAGGCTGTTAACTCAGGAGAAGTGTTTATGGTTGACTCGGAGAGCATCTCTCTCTTTCCGAGCAGCTCACCCCGTCCTGGGAAGGGAGCAGCGTCACCAGCAAAGAGCCTAAAATCAGAGAAATCCCCGCTGGGGAATCCTGCTCTGCCCCAGCTGAAAATGCTTGAGATGAGGCCCCCGAAAGGGATTTGCTGGAGTGAAGTCCCAAATTCCTCCTGCCCAGGGATCCTTTTATGTTCCAGTCCCCGGGGGTGCGATGCAGCAGAAACAGCTCCTGCCTCTCCCCTGCCAAAACAGAAGCAGATGAGCACTTTCTTTAGTCTGGGCTGCTCCAGTTTGCTTTAAAAAGGTTTTTTTGGAGGTGCTGCTTGTACATAGTCAGTCTTGGGGCAGCCCCCAATTCCATGTTTCCTCCTTGGGGCTCTTATGAGAGGTCTCCTAGAGATTCTGAATTCTTCAGGTATCTGTAGATGAACTGCCTTTAATTAGTAATGGAAGCGGTGGGGCTTTGCAGGGCTTTGGAAGGGGGCACTTGCTGGCTGGTGGTAGCAAAACCAAGGTCTTCTCTTGCAGATGATGCTGACCAAAGTCGAGATCTGAGGCCGTACCTGTTGGCAGAGTCCCACCGCCCCGAGCGAAGCGTGGCCACCGTTGGTCACTGGCCTCACCAGAGTACACAGCAGCCTCGGGAGGAGCCCTCAGCCAGCTCTCTAGGACGGATTAAGTTTAACCCCACGGTGCGACACATTGTGATTAATGAGCACAAGGACATCACATTTAATTGCTCTATCAAAGTACCTCAGCTGCTGCTCAGGCTGGAAACCCCGGGCATTTCCTTGTGGAAGGATGGGAGGGAGCTGCACGGCTTGGACCGCATTGCCACCAGCCACTTTGAGATCCCCGATGAGGAGGAGGTGGCAATGACCTCCACCTTCAGGTAACTAGTGCCATCCTTCCTGGAGGGAGGCCCTGAGCGTTGGCTCCCAGGGAGGGACAGGAGGCCAGATGGCTGGCAGGAGCTTGGGACTGGGACTAGGACAGCCAGACGCTCCGTAGCCCCCAAAGCCTGGCTTTGCAAGCCTGGCTTCTGCTTGGTGTGTGCTGTGGCATGGTTGGTACTGATTGAAACCCATGCCCAGGCTGGCAGAATGTGTCCTCCTGTGGGAGCGGCGTGTGGGGCAAGGCTCTCCGCCAGAGCCCTGACGTCACCTCTGTTCTCTCTGGCAGCATCCTTGCCGCTCAGCGCTCGGATAACGGCTCCTACGTCTGCAAACTCAATATCTCTGGCACAGAGGTGGTGTCAGATCCCATCCTGGTGCAGCTGGAAGGTGAGATGGAGGAGGGTTAGGGTGGATGTGCCCAAGGTGTGGAGCCTTGTGTCCTGGCTTGAGTGACAGCCCCGGGACTGTGATGTGGGACCTGCGAGCTGTTCTCCAGAAACGCAGGGTCCTAGATGGGAAGGGGCTTGCTGCTGGAGCTGGGCACAGCCCCGGGCAAGGCAGTTTGGGGTTGTTGATAGGGCTGTGTTTCCAAGCTCTCTGAATCTCTTGATTCTCTGCTTTGGTCTGTGCAGGGCTCCCACACTTCATTCGTCAGCCTGAGAAGCTGAATGTCACCAAGAACAGTCCCTTCAACCTCACGTGCCAAGCTGTGGGCCCGCCGGAGCCTGTGGAGATCTACTGGTTTCGCAACAACGTCCAAGTCAACGAGAAGCCCCACATCTCCCCATCGGTCCTGACCGTGCCAGGTGAGCCATGCCACGTCCTGGGACACCGCTGTGTAGCTACCAGGAAGGGCAGGGTGGGAAGGTGTCTCGTGCCATCTCACTGCCTGTGACGCTTGTTTGGCAACCCTGGGGACAGCTCTGCCAGGGATGATCTGGGTGCAGGAACCCCCATCTGACCCCCCCTCTGGCTGCTGCCAGAAGTTTCTTTCTTGGAAGAGGCAGGACACACAAACTGCTCTTTCCTAAGCAAGAAGTGGATTTTTCCTCTAGCCTGTGGCCATGCCAGCAAGTACAGTGCTGCTCTTATGGGCTGCTTTACTGGTGGTCCCCTCTTAATGTCTCTGGAAGACCTTGGGTTGGCCCCTGCAGTGTGTCTCCATGCCAGCCTGGTGGAGCAAAGGGAGAAAAGTCCTTCGTGTAACATAAAACCCATCATGGTTTTGCTGCAGAGGCAAAAGAGAGGAAGGATTTCTTGATTGCTCGTGAGGAG